GTGAACAAGTGGGGTCTGATAAAGACTATGATACCGATAAAGTGAATGTGTTTTAACAATAATAAATAATGATGGCCGATGTCACAGATACTAATAAGGAATAAAACGTTTCAGTACAAGTAAGAGCGATGGAAATATTGATGTCCAGGTAGACTTATTTTTATATTGTAAGGGGATATCATTTGTGGATATTTTTGAATCACTGGTTTCAAATTATGGCTTTGAAATCAACTGATTCTGCATCTGGGTAGGCTAATGTTGACAGAGGGAAATTTTAATTGAACGGTGTGCGCGTTCAGGTTATTTTTTCCCATTTATTCTTACTGTCATAGAATCTTTCTCTTCCAACCTCCATTAAACACAAACCGTACATATTGAAGATAAATTGCACCAAAATAGTCGAGTATTATGTATCATAGACTTTGGAATTGGTAACAAACAAGCTGATGAATGGAATAATAATCGTCACTATTATCTTCGTTTAAATATATAACTTCCAATGCCATATTGCCTAATTTTAGATTGTGCTGATGTTATCCACTATTCCTCCAATTCCAATCCATTCGGTTCGACAACTTGTGATTCATCATATTAGTATTAGCAGTTTTCATTTGTATCGGCCTCTGTGATGGTTTTGTCATATGAAAAAAGATGCTCAGTTTCTCTTGTAATCTTGACTACTATGTACTAGTATGAAGTTATATAATCTTGAAAGGTTTCGTTGCAGAATTTTTGGGTTGAACTACCGGGTTATAATATTTGTAGTAAAACTGTTACTCCTCGTAATTCCTCATGATGGGAAATCAGTGGTGTAAGTGAAAGGTTTCTTAGATTGATAGATTTTAGTGAAAAAAGGTCAATCGAATTAGGTTATACTATTGAAGATAAATAATTCTATAAATCAATTCTTTCCACAGTTGGTGTCTTTGCTCTGCAAGGACTTTCTTCCAGAATCTAACACTGAAACAGAATTATTTGAAACTATATAATCGCCCTGTTATGGCTCCGTAAAAGTTTTAAACCAATGGTGGCTTACTGCCATCGTGCTATCGTAGCCAGTACTGTTGGACACGATGGTTTAGATCAATGGTTGCTCACTGATATGGTATAATAATCTGTAAGCTAGTTGGAAATAAAATAAATTTCACATCCAACTGATTCTGCACCTAGTTGGGCTAATAAAGACGTGCAACACCATGCAGTGTGCAATGAGAAAAATTTCGCCAGGACAGCGGAATTAGAATTTTTTTCATTTCCAATTTTCGAGGGATCTTAAACTTGCTCAGTACAGCACACGGGGCCTCGGTTTATTATCCCATCGACTAGACCTTTTTACAATGCCAGCCAACTCAGACCTACATTACTGACTGAGGGAAACCGGTTTGACGAATCCGAAGGTAACATCTCTACCTATGCTGGAATTGAGTTGGCTAGTTAGAGACGATAGTTTTAGATCAGTGGTTGTGGCAGCTGATCAGAATGGATCCAATTTACTAGTAGTCCAGCTTCACGAAGTATCAGGGTCGCCCTTGGTCTGTATATCTGGGGAAAATCATACCCATTGCCCAAAAATCAAAAGATTTGACCAATACTTGTAAACATTTAAACTTGATCATTTAATTTGGATGATAGATTGCATATGATTGTTCATATAATAATCTTAATCAAGAAAAAATAGTTAAAATAAAATGTGGCTAACGATGCAATTATTTTGGTTCCACCAGTATTATTAACAAGGCATGTATAATATATACAGTTAGTAGACAGAATTAATTAGAGATATCAGGATATCAATCTATCAGTTAATTTGCCAAATGAATCGATCTTTGCTCGTTTAACACTGTCTACATCGTGTCCAAACCACGCCCCCATTTGTCATATTTCCTTGAGACTGTGGTAATACAAGTGGGAAAAATTACCTATTCATAGATAAATAGTGTCCAATCTACTGTATTGGATTCAAATTTCAGCCAATCAAAACAAATCACTCGTTATGACGCTTTGTTTGCGAACGTAAATAAAACGAGAGCAGCGTGCCATCATATATTTTGATTAATATGTACGGTAAAGAATTGAGTAAGATTTTCGTTTTTGTTTAAAATGGTTTTTATTTTTTAGTATGGCTACTTCACAGTAGGGTCTGACGACCGGAGCCTTGATAAATCGTTAAATGAACCTTTTGACCTAACCTGCTTTAGCCAATCAAATTTACGCCTTCTCCGGTGTTTGCGTTTTGTGACGCGATCAAATGTTGTATTTTCAGCACCAATTTGTTTTCTGTTGTAATGTGTTTTACAACCAATAATTTCAAAGCAATCAGAAAAATTAGACGATAAATCGAAAATTTGGTCAAAATTTAATAAAAATTTCGCTAAAAAATGTGTGATATGAATTTTCAAAATTAGAAACTTTTTAACTACCATTTCGATTTCGTTATAAAACCCGTGAAAGTAATAAGGGTGAATATAATTTGACGCATTTTTTAAAACAAGAAATGACATAAGACGAAAGCAAATTTTTCCAGTTTTTGCCAAATAACGGCTCTAATTTTGATCTGATTTTGATCTGATTTTGATAGGACTTTTAAAGTAAAGTACTTTAAACTTAGTTCTAAAGGATAGCAATTAAGAATTTTAACATTTTGAATTTTGTTGCTGACATTTTGATTTTAAAATTTGAAGTTTTTCTAACTACTACAATTTTAATTCGATCGATATGAAACGTACAGATGGATAGACAATTTGATTACGAACTCAATTTTCAAAATTTAGATATCGCTTCCGGTTTTAACGTTATTTGCTTGTAAAATTGAAGATATTTGAAAAATTCTTTTTGCATTTAACTAGAGTTGCCCATGTTAAGATATAAAAAAATCCGATCCGAAAGTAATAGGTCAGCCGAAAACGAAAACTGGGGCTTTAGGGGGTAATCAAGTGTGTGTAATTTTGATGTCTATGTAATCTTCAATCGATTGTAAACACATCTCAGGAAAGAGATTTTTGAATTAAGATTTTGCTTTTCTTTGATATCCGGTTTTATTTTTTAAGTAATTGTGAAATATTATAAGGCCCGTATCTCGTGATCTTGACCATTGGTGACCTTGTGACCTGCACATAAGTTATTGCCTCTGACGAGATCTATCCTTTGACATCTTCACAATTGCCTGCAATGTAAACTTCCGGTTTTACAACCTATTGAAAATCGCGCTTTTTAAATTAAAAGAGCTCTGTCACGTGTCCTGTTTTTATGTTAAATATTATAACAAGTTTTCTTTCATATCCTCTTTACGCATTATATCCTCCTTCCAATGGTATATAACAAAATTGCGCTTTTTAAAATTTGAATATTCTGTACTGACTTCTATAGTAACTGTGCGTAATTTTCCATTTCCGTAAAACCGAAAGCTTTTAACGTGAAACTGAATATTTCATGATCTAATAAATGTAGACGTTTGAAATTTGAACATAACTTAATATTGTACACTTGATAATTTACATGACAACATTTTTGGGATTTAACTTATGAGTTTGAAATTCATCAAAACTCGTATGAATTTTTCACTCATAATATTTTGCAAGAAAATAGGTCACTAGTTTGGTCAATATGAGATAAAGATGCTGCCCCCTCCGCTGGAACGCCAACAAAATAAAAAGGGTGGTACGGTCAACGATAGCAGCCGAGGCCTTAAGTCTCCAAGAAGGTTTAGAAAGCGCGTATTAATATAGAATGCTTTTAGAAGAAATACTTCATTTACGAGATAAAACCATCCAAATCATTGCAGTTATTGACAATAAAGGTGTTGTAGAAGCAGTGCACAGTACAAAGCTTGTTGATGATAAACGTTTGCGCGTTGACATTGCTGCTATACAGGAAAGTCTGCGTTTGAAGGAAGTTAAAACTATTCGATGGTGCGCTGGAGACCAACAGTTAGCCAATTCAATGACCAAACAGGGGGCTTCCGGTAGCTCTTTGCTAAAGGTTCTTAACAGTGGAATGATGCCAAGTGACATGTTCTAGGCATGATATTTTGTGTGGGCATAATAATCCCAATGAATGTGAGTCTATCCTTAGATCATTCATATTATTTGTGATGTTATTCTGTGATATTATGGGGCAGAATAATCCCCGAGAACTTGAGAATAGTCAAATTCAATGATAGTACTCAGATTGTGAATGGTATAATCACTGTATTGTATTGTATATACTAAAAATACAAACCAATATTTTATTATTTTAAAAAGACAAAAATAATTATTTTTATGATATATTTTGCATTTGAAATTTTTGTTTTAAATTTCTTGTCGTGCTTAAAAAAAAAAAAAAAAAAAAAAAAAGAATAATATAATCAATGTTAATATATTGAATGTGTCGTCTGCTATCAGACTGGGCAGAACGTCTACTATGAATGTAGGCTGCGCATGCTCATTGAAGTATATTTCATGCACGAGCTTCACTCACGTGACCAGGCAGACAGACGCCGACATCTTACACTCGAGTGAATATGTATTGTACGACATGTATTGCTAGCTTTTATAATAAACTGTATATACATTAGATGTGATAATTTACCTTAATAATTATGTTTTAAACACCATCTTGTTGATAATTTAGGTTATATTATGTTTTAAACACTGTCTTGTTGATAATTTAGGTTATATTATGTTTTAAACACCATCTTGTTGATAATTTAGGTTATATTATGTTTTAAACACTGTCTTGTTGATAATTTAGGTTATATTATGTTTTAAACACCATCTTGTTGATAATTTAGGTTATATTATGTTTTAAACACTGTCTTGTTGATTATTTTAGGTTTTAACATATATTACCATTAGGATCATTTCTTTGATTATAATGTATTGTAAACACCATCTAATTGATGTTTTCGGGATATTATTTTAAACACTATCTTGTTAATGTGTTTCAAGTTATTTTACACACCACCGTGTTGACAATAATGTTGTTATTTATTATAATTGTCTTATATTTGTATTTTTCAGGATGTTGCTGTTTCCGGTATAAAACTCAAAGATGTTACAGCACAGAATGTTTGTTTTACAACTGCTATGTATCGTCGGTATAGAAAGTGGAGAGGAAAGCTCTTTATTCTATTATGGCTTGTGTTGTGGTTAACAATATTTTTAAGAATGGAACAGGCTTTTAGTTATCCACGTTTCAATAGTGATGTGCAACCTGATAATAATCGTGTTCAACGAACCTCGTTAAAACCAACTACTTTGCCATCAACACCACCTCCTATCTTAAAAGAACATTATATTCTTGCCAATTTTGATTCAGGTCGTCTTGGAAATGAACTGTTCCGTCTAGCATCACTAATAGGAATAGCAGACAAACATCGCTACATGCCAGTAGTTGATCGTCATATTGCAAGTATAACCTCAATTTTCAATAGCTCCATACGAGTTATTAAAAAGCTAAACAATTCCAGAAGATTTTCAGAAAAGGCAGCAGGAAAATATGATACACGAATTCATAATATTTCAACTCATTACAATTGGACATTAAATGGCTATTTCCAGTCTTGGAAATACTTTGTAAATGTAACCCAAACTTTGAGAAAAGAGTTTCAGTTCCTTCCACACATTATAAAAGAGGCAAAACAGTTACTGCCCCCTAGATATAAACCATTGATTGGTGTTCACGTTAGAAGAGGAGACATGAATTCATTGCGTCAGATCAAACGTGGCTACAATGTTGCAGATATAGGATATTTAAACCGCTCTATGGGCTATTTTAGACATACTCTTGGCTCTGTGAGTTTTATTGTTGTGTCTGATGATATAAATTGGTGTAAAAAATATTTACAAATGCCAGATGTAAAAATTGTACGAGGATCGCATGTCGTGGATCTGGCTGTATTGTCATTGTGTGATCATAATATAGTGACTACTGGTACGTTTGGGTGGTGGGGTGCGTGGCTGGCTGGTGGAAAAACAGTTTATTTTAAAAATTTTCCTAAAAATGATACGTGGCTTGATAAGCAATATGAAAAATCAGACTATTATCCGCCACATTGGGTGGGAATGTTATGATGACGCAAATAAGCTGTATTTGTTTTTTATTGACGTATTTATATAGGAATTAAAGTAGGAATGTGCTCCTATTATAGTCCAACAAAGATATACATGTATTTGCTCATCTGGATACTTTAAAACAATGCATTTAAGGGGATAAAAGGATATGCATTCAAATGTTCCAATATGAACATCTAAACGAAAAGGAAAATGTTAATAAATCAAGTCATATACTGATACATGTCTATTTCATTTTTATATAGATTGACCAATATTCACACCGAATTGAGTGATAAGCTAAACCCTCTAAATGCGATACCTTTCATACCTTTGAAAATAAAATGGACTGGTTGTATAGGTATGTGTTGACGGTACCCAGATAAGCAAAATTGATTAGATTGCAGCTTAATGAATTGGTTCGTTCACACTCAAATTAGTGTAATATTTTGGTTACACCTGCAGCATGCATAACGTATTCTTCAAAACACTAAATTATGTTACTCTTAATTAAGTGTAAATTTTGATCTAAGTATAATTATACATTGTTTATTATTTTACTGCTTCGTGTATAGCCTATAAATTACTCATACCTTACTTTTCAAGTGATATTTAGAACACACTAGAAATACCAAAAAAAAAAACCATCGCAAATAGTGTCCTCGAAAATTGACCCCCCTTGACCACGAAATTGAACATTGATTACATGTTAACGCCTGAATGTGTGTTTTGGTCGAAATTCAAATGATAATTGCGCCATTTCTCTATTTGTTACATTCGATTAAGAAGAAGTGGGGAATAGTGAACAGTGCCAACGTCAGTAGTGTTTCAGTCGTATATCACGTGGTCTCAGAAGACGCTAAGGCACATTTATTCAATTTTCGAGGCAACCTTTGCCATGATATACGACCATAACCGCCGAAGGGTAACAGTTTATTGCTTATATTTACGTTTTCAAGATATTCTAATTTTGATACAAAGACTTTAGTATGAATTTAAGTAGGGCCTATTTCTTTATGTTTCATTATATCTACTCACAAGTAAAATTTAAAAAAAAAACATAACATGGCGCGCTTACTTTAATTTACGTCCAAACTAGTGGGATTGCTAAACAATTGCAAATTGAAAAAGACCAAAATTTATGTATTGTTTCGTTTCGTTTCGTCATACTACTTATAAAAACTTTCCAACTTTTTAATGGAGCCTGCATCAGAAAAACGTGTTTTTCAATTCGCAAATATCAATATTAAATGACCTGGCGGGATGGCGGAGGCCATTTTCCTTGGAAAATTCAAGACACCATCTTGTAAAGAGGGGTTGAACTCAAGATTAATTTACTCATTACTAAGCTAACTTATTGGATCTTTTGAGCTGTTAAGCTGTCCCTTAAATCCGTGTTACTTCCACACCTTACATATTGATGTTTACTCTCATTGCCCATACATAATATGTAATACTAAAAGTGTACACTTATGAAAGTGTATAAGTTTGGAGCAAGTGAAAAATAAGCATCGAAATTTGTGTTAATTTTCATATTTTACGAAAGAGGTAACAGATATTCGTTTGTCAAAAAGGCCAATAAAACAATTTTGTATGATATGGGATGAAGGTCTAAAATGATAATAAAATGCATAATCATTGCTGGTAAAAAAAATAGTCAAGATCTGCCATGATGTTAAATTTTGTAAAATTATCATATCACTGTTCCTTTTCAAAATTTTAGAATTGCCCACGATTCTACTATATCTTTCACTTTCAGGACTTTATTCGTCCAATCATTTGTTTAAGCAGCTAATAACATATTGGTCATAATATAGCGCAAAATTCATTGCTGGGATTCCGAAAAGGAGGAAATCATTGCAACGTAAAAAGAGATCACGTGGTATTGTTTCAGAAACAAAGGAGGAGAGTAGCGGATCTTGCCCTCATTTTGTCATAACAAAAAAAACAATCAATGAGCCATTGATTACGCTAACGGAGATGTTGCGTTTTAGTACACAATTAGCAGAATATTGGATTTGCTCAAGATTTGCTATGATCCGTAGTGTGGGCGTATATTATCGTCACCTCTGTCTGTCTATGAAAATATTAGTCTCGAAATGTTTCATTTACTGATAGCTCTTGTCAACATCCCAGACAACTTGGCTGCCATTACAATTGTGGGCGTATTAGGATGACCATCGCTATTGTAACATGTAATCGGATCTTTATATATTCCACGTGGACTACGAATCATCGTGTTTAATGTATCTCTGTATTGCGCTTTCAAGAATTTTTTGGGCTACCACATTTCTTTATATCTGACTATATTTTGTGTTTTTAAAATTTGATTTATTTTCACAGTAATGAACGTTATGTCTATCCTGAGCAGTGTGTATTGAAACTTGAAGCGTAAACAGCTAAAGATTTATTTTCTGATTCCCTTGTGACTATTTTATCTTTATCATCCTATGGAGAAAAGTAATCAGTGGAATAGACGACGGAATAAAATGCAGTATGTGCGAAGAATTTTAGAGTCTAGATTTAAATTCTGGAGAATTAATTTTCTCCGATCTATTTTGGTTTGAGGAGAGTGTAAAGATTCCAATTACTGGTGTTGGAATAGAAGAATTAATAAATTGCGTGGTGGTAGTAAGAGTGATGGGAACCAGATTACATAGTGTATAATCATATTACCTTCTAGTTTATTACATTATCTTCCCCATTCCATCATTCCAGCCACATCTTGACAATTTTCAACTTTCTCTATTATAGTTTTCATTCTCGCTTTAATTTTATCTTTTTATCAATATTTTATATTTAATTCACCTCCCCACACCTCCGTATTCACTAACTTTTTTTATATATTCGACATGACTTAGCTTAGCTACCACTGACATCTTTTCGATTGAAATAAAACCCAATAAAATATTAACGTCAAAAGCCATAAATTGCAATAAGCTAAATGACAAGTGAAGTTATCTTACTCTCATGGTGGCTGATAAAAACTACCAGATAAACATTTGTAGCTATAAGTTTCCGAGCTAACGAAGCTAGAAGCAGAATGAATGTCGTTACTGCTTTATTAGATTTCATTCAACCAAAGAAATGTTTTTCGGAGACGGGTAAATTCAAATTAGGGGAAGAAACAGTTTGGAACCTTTTAAATAGCCGGTGTTCCACAATATTCTTGTATGGCAACTTGGGCCTCCGCAATGAGTTTATTTAGTTGAGTGTTGTCTCAATTTCTTGTTCCTCTCAACAGATTGCACCAAAATAATATTTCAAAACCCAAAAGTACAAAAATAAAAACATGTAAAACCATAAAGAAATGAGTTTCCGCTAGGAAAATCGACTGTTGATGGAATGAGTCAATGTACACGAAAGGTCCCACAAAACAATCAAATGAACTATAGTGCGCATGCGCGAGAATGGTGGACGTGTTTATGGAGCTCTGAAAAAACATTTTTCCAACGCCAATATTTCTTAAAAAAAACTGAAAATTGTATGGAAATTCACCACGATTGAAGCTTTATAAACTATTTACCCAATCCTGTACTCGAAGGGTATTTTACTTGTGAAAGATCGCCACAATTACCACTTTAACATTGGTTATCAAGTACCGTAATTTTGATTGTTTAGGATCAGTAGGTGAGGCTACGCTGTATCCTATACTTTCTATACTAACTAAACTTGTTTACAACTGTCGAAGTGTGTTACTGAGTTCCATTGAAGGTAAAGGAGACGATATCATCTACAAATTAACTGCAAAACAGAGGTCAGTCATTTTATTCTTTCGTCCTGACACCATCGCCATCTTGTATCTAACAACAACAAAAATTTCATAGCCCTACTATTTTGAGACACTTTGAGATATGGCTGGTCAACACACCACCGAAGATGATGTTCCTCCAACTGTCTCTCCACTACACGATAACAGACCCAAACGTAAAAAGCCCAACACCCCCAATTCCAAAACTGATGATGTAGAAGATATCCTTTGTGTAATGTGTGAATTAGATTTGGTCCACACTGACTGCCAGAACATTGTTTGTTCTATGTGTGATCTAACCTTCTGCTTCCACTGCTCTAAAATTTCACTAAGTCTTTACGACTGTATAATGGAAGACACAACCAACTCTGTCAAGTGGACATGTAAGGTATGCAACAAAAACTTTCCTGGAGTATGCGTGATAACAAACAGCCTACGTCAAATTGAGCAAGATAACAAGGAGAGACTAAACCTGGTTGAAGAAAAGATAGAGAGGGTCGAGAAAAACGTGCCAAAACAGATAGAACGGGAATTGAAGAGAGTAAGAGAAGGGGCTACCGCTGATATATACAATGCCATTAACTCATCTCCAATGTTGTACAACAGGAATTAGAAGAAAGGGATGAACAGAGGAGAAGAGAAAGCAATATAATGGTTTTTAACATTCCAGAGTCGACAGCTGACAACCCTGACAGAAGAAAAGCATTTGATGTAGAAAAGCTGATACAATTCTTCTCATTTCTAGACGTCTGTATAAGAACAGCCATCAGGGTAGGAAAACCATTTATGACCCACACCAGTAGGCCAATTAAAGTTATCCTAGAAAACAGTTCTGATAGAAGGAAACTATTCATAGGCTATCGTGACAAAGGGAAACACTAAAAGGCAACAGGCAGTTCTGCGATTTCACCTTATCAAGGGACTACACACCGAAACAACGTGACGAGTACAAGTTACTTAGGAATGAACTGCACAGAAGGCAAGCACTTGGAGAGAATGTTATAATCAAGGGCGGAAAGATCGTGTCACTACAAAACCAAACTGAACCCAATTACAATAATAACAATACTGCAAACATTGCCACTGGCTCCACTCTTGACAGCACAACCAAGACCAACATATCCAGTAGCCCACCCAGTAACCAAAACATCAAACACAATTACCAACAAGAAGAGACCAGCCCACTAACCTTATCAACAGAGAAAGGAGGAGACTGATCTCATACACTGGAAACGACACCATCACCAACGAATCCATGACTAATGGTAGCGAAGAGGAGACTATGATATATAGTGAAAGCTTTTCTGTAGCGGGAGTGGATTAAGCATAGGACGTTAGTTTTACCTACCAAGCACATGTACAAAACAGCACGAATGATGAAGATCTTAAAATTGTATATACGAATGTAGATAGTCTTTTAAACAAACGTCTGGAATAATAGATGAAACTGGTGCTGATATCATTGCAATAACTGATTTCCTA